TCCTGAGGATACTACAAGCCCAGCGCCGAGAGACTTCGTTGCAGCGCCGCAAGCCCCACACGCAGAGGACAACGCGACGCGAGGAGACTCCAGCCAGGCCATCCGACGCAGGACGCGGGCCGGAGCGAGAGGGAGTGAAAGGGAAGGGGGGCTCCGCTTCGCGCGCCCCCTGCAACTCAAGGTTTGGGGTGACCGCCGGTCACCCGGGCAAGGGCGCCCTGAGTGTTTACAGGCTGCGGACTGGAGAATGGCGCCGCCCGGCGTCTCCAGCTTCCCTGACCGCGTCTGCGACGCGTCGGTTCTATTGGTCGGCGATGTGTACGATAGCGATGGCGATGATGTGTGTGTGTGCGTGTGTGTGTGTCGCTCCCGGTTTGTGCGTGGCGCTGTGACGGTCGGTAGTGACGGGGTCGCCGCTGTGGGTGAGGGTGCAGTCGCAGCTCCAGGCCTCAGCGTTGGCGAGGCGCAGGGTCCCCCGCAGGATCGGGCACCTGAAGAAATGGGACTGCCGGTTGCTGGAGTACCCGAATCCACAGGAATCAGCTGTCGCCGGCCGGAGAGCATGCGGAAGGTCAGATTGTGGCGTCTCGGTCAAGGGCAAGGTGAGCTGCGACGGACGGCTGCGTGAGGAGAGAGGCCGCAGTTTCCCAGAATCCCCCGCGCGTTCACCACGCCGAGCACCGGGTCGACGTCACCAAGGATTTCCCGGCGCCGCGTGGGTTTTCCTCTTGTTGCAACGGCGGCCGGGCGCCGACTCTCAGCCAGCCTTGCCAGTTTTGCCCTGCGCGGGTGCACCCGTACACCCACTGTCACGGCCGCGGGTACCAGGACATGCGATGGGGCCGTAGGCGCGCCCCGCGGCCCTGCGAACCGAACGAGGGGTCCAGCAGCAACTAACCACGCGGAACGCAGCCCCTGACAATTTCCACAGCCTGGTGGCGGGTTTTTCCACAGGTTTATCCACGAGACGCTGGCGGCGCAGGCTGCAGTGCGACCGAGGGCTTTGGCCATGCACCACGCACGCCGTATCCACGCGGGAGGGACCAACGGCGCGACTAACCCAGCCCGACCCCTTGCGGCCGAAGACCAAAACCGGCGACTTGCGCCCCTCCGATGCGGCGACGGGGCCGCGCACGAGTGGGGTCCGACCTCCAGCGGACGTCAGCAGCGGGACGGGCCCTTTTGGCCGCCTGGCCCTTTGTCTACGATCCGCGCACAACATGCCAATCACCGGGGAGGGAGGGGGGGGGGGCGGTCGCTGCCCATCCCGTTCCAAGGAAGTGCAGCCGAGCCGCCTGGGCCGGGCACGGCCGGGCGGCGGCGGGCGACAGGAGACAATAACTTTACAGCCTGCAGGTGTTCTCCAGCCGTCGCCGGCTCGCACTGTTTCGGCCGCGGCGCCTTTCAGACGCGAGTGCCGCCGCCGCCGAGGTTTTCGACAAGTCCGGGCAAGTCCGGCATGCCGGGCCAGCACGTGGTGTTGGCCTGCTCGGGCAGCGACCCGGCCGAGTTCTGCCGCGGGGACGGCGGCAGGGGGTGTCAAAGCGAAGGCATCTCGCCAATATTGCAGGTACAGCCAGGAGTGTAGCTCGGCGTGCCCAGCGTTGGGGTGCAACTGGTCGGTGTGCGGCTGGCGAGTCTGTCGGCGCCTTTCGCTCTGAACAAGTCATCGCCAGCATGGTCGCATGAAGAAAGGGGAAGGGCGAAGAACCAAATCAAAACATATCACCAACGCCGCAAGAAAGAAGACAAAGAAGAAACCCTTCTGGTTCCCAAGACATATGGGACGAAGCAGGGGGGTACCGGACTCGGTAGTGCTCAAAGAGGCTGATCCGGGGCGGAGGTCTATGCGACCCCTTTCGGGGGCACTTAGGCCCCCAACCCCAAGGACTGGCACTGCGAGCCGGAGCGTGCAGCCGCTGAGGTTCCCTCCGCCGAGGTAAAGTACCACCTTAGTAAGGACGACCTTGTCCCGTTTTGCAGTGCAGGCGGGCATGTGTCGGGCCCGAAATGGCATACGATCATATGTGGTCCAGCCCTTGATGATGATGATGATGATGGGAGGTAGGCATTGCAGGGAGGTGAAACGCACCCCTGTGCCGCGGGCCTGCCTACCAGAGGACGCCTGCGAGGTAGGCAACATCGCCAGTTGGAAACGCACGCGTGCGTTGCGGGCTTGCCTGCCCCGCAGGCGCGCTGCTCCACCACCGCTGCTGTGCTGCTGCTGCTGGTGTAGTAGTGCCTCCCCCTGGATGTATGGGTACGCCACGCCCCCGTCCACCTGAGGTACCAGCCCGCGCTGGCTGGCCCTGCCTGGCCCTGCCTGGCCCTGCCTCGCTGAGTTGTAGCCGAGCATTACCGGAGCAACAGCGCGGCAGCACGGCAGCGCCAAGGCAGCGCGGCCCCAGCTCGCCCCAGCCGATACGAGACTCGCCAAATTGCGTGCCTCTCGCTACTGTACTCTTGGCCCCGTGACCCGCGCCCACGAGCGGCTTTCCCTGTGACGCGAAGGTGCATCGGCGTGGGTGTGTGCCGGTGTGTGTTCGGACAGTGTCGTGGGAAAGGTGACGTGTACAATGAGCGCTGCCGCGCCCCCGTCACCACCGACTGACCGACAGACGGGGGCCGGACTGCTTCGCGACGGACGGACGGACAGACGGACGGGCGGACGGACGGGGCGCAGTGCAGCAGTGCAGCACCAAATGAGCTCTCCGGATTGCGTAGGGAGGGACGTCACGTTCGGGCACCTTCGGGCACCTTCGGGCACCCTCGGGTAGTGTTCTGCATTGGGCGGTCCGGCCGGTCCGGCCAATTTCGTTGCCCACGGAGCGACTGCAGAGCTGTGAACGCCTGGGTTCGCCACCGGCTGCCTCCGGAAGCACTCCCAAGTTTTCGGAAGCAGGCATGAATACACCTCCTCACCCCTCGCCCTAGGACAACGCGAACTGTCCCGATAGGTGCTGCCCTCTAGGCGGCAAAAATTGGCTCCGGCGGCTATCGGTCTGCCGGGTACCCGAGCGACCGACGGGGTCGGGCGGTCCACGGACCGCCCGAACCGACGGCAAGCTCGGGCCGGGCGGTCCGGTCCGAGCGACGGCAGCGCCATCGGTCCGCGCGAAACGACACGGACCGCCCAATGCAGAACACTACCCTCGGGCAACTTCGGGCCGTTCGCCGCGACCTCCAGCCAGGGCCTCCCTCCAGGGCCTCCCTCCAGGGCGAGCAGCACGGGCAACACGTCAGCGGGGCGGGCCGCAGGGTGCAGGCAGGCAACCCCCGGGCAACCCTCACGTTGTTTTGACCGCCACGCCGACACCGGCGGGTGTGGCCCCGATTCTAATGCCCCCGGTTCGCTGTCCGAGGAAACGCGTCAACGCCGTCCTTAGGCAAGCAAGGGGTCTGTCTGGTGACGCACGCCGTGCAAAGAGTAGTCGGTGGTTACCGCCCAGTCAACAACACCGACCCCCTGAACCGGCTCGGCGTGGCGTGGCTCGGTGTGGCCGCCTGGAGGAGAGGGGTACACTGCACCAACTCCAGTACTGGCCTGCACCCTCCTGATGGCGGCGTGCGGTGGGACTTGGTCCGGCGGGGCGTCGGCGTGGACGACGGCGGCCTCGGCCAGGCCTGGGCGGCCCTAATCTGAATGAGTCGCGGCTGGGCGGCCGGGCGGCCGGGCCGAGCTTTGCCCTCAGAGACACGCCCACCCGCCGGCCGGCCGGCCAGTGTGCCAGCCTAGCGCGCCCCGCCGGCCGGGCCCCAGCCACTTTTGCATGTGCCGGTACTTTGACCCGCGCGACGCTCGACGCTCTCGCCCGCCGCTTTCATTACCGCGAGGGCGACAAGACCGGCCGGCGCGGAGTGCGCGGAGTGTCATCCAATCTGAAGTGCGCGACGCCACCGCGGCCGTCTGCCACGGCCCGCCACGGCCCGCCACGGCCTGCCATTACTAACGATTAAGACGGATAACGATTTACGTCCGCCTGGCCCGGCTCGCTTGGCCGGCCCGGCTGGCCGACGGGATAAGGATTTACCGGGACGACATGAAGAGGGACGGCATGACAATGGCCGACTTACGACCCGTCCGGTCCGAGCCGTCCGGTGTCCGGGACTACCCCAATGGCCCAATGGACGTCAAGATAAGCGGCTAGGACGAATTTGGCGGAGGATCGGGACGGACCCTGCAGCGAGAGGACTTCGGGGACGGATTCGCCGTCAGAGGTCGTTAGTGTTGACTCGCGGAAACGACGCAGACCGAGTGTTTAGATTCGAGGCGGCAGCAAAAAAGGTCGGACCTCACTTTTTATCCGTCGTTTGAGAGGGCCTGACAGAGGCCCCAATAACCCGACCGCGGGGCGGTACGGGGCAGCAGCGATAAGTTCAATGATGGCCTGTGATGTAACGGCCGCGACACGTACACGACGTGCACGTAACACGACGGCGCTGCAATCGGCCAGAACGTCGCGACGAGTGGGACGAGTACCACCGAGTACCACGACCATTCGAGGTCCGGCCGGCGGGGCACCGACTCCGGGATCCATCTCATGGCGTGGCGCCGCCGGCCGGATCTAGATGCCAGATTTCAACGGACCCTCGATTGGGTCGCAGCGGCCGCACCGCCTTCGGGGAGTCGTCAAAACGGTTAAAACGGCCCGGCCAAAGTCTACGTGACTGTCCTGGCGTCGTCCTGGCGTCATCCTGGCGTCAGCGTGTTACCCCAGCCACCGCAGCGCTAGCGCCGCTAGCGGCCCGTCGCCTTCGCCTTCGTCTTCTTCGCCTGCTGCGATGCAGTCCGACGTTGCTTTACACGGCCTGCGGTCTTCCCCTCCCCCTTCTTTTCCCTCTCGCGCCCTGTGCCTTCCCTCTTTCCCCGTCCCGCGGTCCGGTCCTCGCGGTCTTCCCCCACCACGGCCCTGCCCCTTCCCCCATGCCTTCCCTTTCCCTTCGCGCCGCTCCGCGCCGCGCTCCGTCAGCTGATGCCTGCGTACAGTGTACAGTCGCGCGAGACGAGCGGCGACTTACTGTCAGCAAACGTGGAAAGCTTCCGAGATGGCGGCAGTTTGAAAAAGTTTCTGTTCCGAGATATTGCTTTCTCGTTTCTGGACTGAAACTTTTGAGGCAGGAGCGTTTGCCGTTTTTCGAACGCCCGCACCATTCGAGAGTATCGACTTCCCACGCCTGTGCCCTTGAACTACATTACAAGAAGAAGAAGAAAAGTAGGCAAAATCACAGAAAACAACATTAGACCGTAGAGCGTGCGGGACGTCGCGAGCTCCTCGGAAGGCACCACGATTTGAAAGGGTTGAGTCAAATTTCGGACTGCGGACCCGAAAATTTTCAATCTTGCTGGTATTTTATCGTGGTCTTCTGTCAGCTCGCACTCCCTCCATCTTCTCTCGCCGAAGTCTGTTCAAAACGTTTGAAACTAGTGGTATGTTGCTTGGAATTTATTGTGGGATTTTTGTGAATAGCAGGTGTTTTAGAACATGTCATCTTCAAGGCATGGCTTTCTATTCTGTCAAATGCCTTGCTATCTCGCTTCTCTCGTCGATGTGTGATTGTGACATTGACTTGTCCTAGTTTTCTACCGACAGTGGAGAGCCTTGTCTTGTGTTTTAGATTTTACCCCTCTGTTATTTCGTGACATGGATTTGTGTCATGGAATTTCCACTCCGATGTTTCTATGGGTCAATTGCCCCAAAACCTCAGCTGTGCGTTCGGCATTGGTGTCTGTTGAATGGACTTGAACCCATTTCTATGAGTCCTTCATAAATCTTTTAGGACAGTCTATCTTGTGGCATGCTGCAATTAAATGAAATGTACTAAACACATGTACAGTCCAATACATTTTCCCAGGTTGAAGGGTAGTACATCGCACTTCAACATTTGTTTCACCTTTCTATTGAAAATTCCCCTAGTAATCATCCTGGAAGGTAATTGTGTCCATGTTTGCTTTTACCTGTTTGTCTTTCATAGGATTGAAGAAAATTGCATTAAATGTGCATTGACGACAGACTTGCTTGACAGTAATCAATAGATAAACATCTTCCCCTTCCCTCTTGACCATTGATTATGTAGGTTGGTCGTTCACTTGACAATCACACACCATCTGTGATAAGCATGCCCTTTAGACCAAGGAAACTAAAGTTTGTGGCCTTGACCTCTGTAACCTCAGAGTGATAATGTAACAAGCTGCCGGGCTGGGCTGGCAGAGAAAGGGAGAGAGAGAGAGAGAGACTGATACAGGTCTGCCTGACTGCCTGATCCCCTTTGACTTGTTGGGCTGGGCTGGGCTGGGCTGGGCTGGTTTGTTTGCTTGTGACTTGGTCGTATTCTGCCTCTGGCTGTTGGAGCAACAGCAAGCTCTCTTCAGCTCAGTGGTTGTGTTGAAGGGTATGTATGTGTTGAAATGTGTGGTGTGTGATTTGCCTCTAAGAAAGGTTCCCAAAAATATTATGTTAAATTCTATTTTTCTTTTATTCTATTCTATTTTTTGAACTTAAATGGTAGTTAATTTCAATATTTTTCTTTTAAAACCGATCTTGTAAATGAGAATGTTCAAGTGGTGACTATGCTGGTTTTCTTTACCTCAAGAGTTGTAATTGATTGTAAGTTTGTAGTTGATTGCCCCCCAAAAGGAGAAAGGCTGCTCATTTGTAATTGTTTTAGGCTGCCAAAATGCTGGGAAACAAATTTGCTCGTTCTGCGCTTGCGCGCAGGATGCGCAGCCCTCTTCACTCCATTCGAAATCAATCAACCAAAGTAGAATATCGTCCAATTCGCAGTGTCCTGGCAGCAAACCGAGGTAAGTCGTCTTAATTTTGAATTTTGCTTGTTACTAGTTCATTTGTTGGCTTTCTTTGACGTATGTTGTGTTCATTTTCAGGTGAAATTGCTATCCGTGTTTTTCGAGCATGTACTGAATTAGGGATAAAATCTGTGGCCATTTACTCTGAACAAGACAAGATGCAAATGCATAGACAGAAGGCTGATGAGTCCTATATTGTGGGTAAAGGGCTGCCACCAGTTCAAGCTTACCTTAACATCCCTGACATCATCCGTATTGCTAAGGTAATTATCCATTTTCGTTAAGATTTGACACCCACTGTGTATTTTTCTAAATCATGTTCTTATTTTTTGTTTTGATCTGTTGAACCCCAGGAAAATAATGTAGATGCTATTCACCCTGGATATGGTTTCCTTTCTGAGCGATCTGACTTTGCTCAAGCTGTTGTTGATGCTGGGATAAGGTTTATTGGCCCTGCTCCTAGTGTTGTCCAGAAGATGGGTGACAAAGTTGCAGCTCGGCAGGCAGCTATTGCGGCTGGAGTCCCAATCGTTCCTGGAACTGATGGACCTGTCACTAAGGCTGAGGAAGCCGAAGAATTCTGTTTGAAACATGGCCTGCCTGTTATCTTTAAAGCGGCTTATGGAGGTGGTGGTCGTGGTATGAGAGTTGTGAGAAAAATGGAGGTACAGTAATGTTTTTATGTGTATCCATCAAAGACCAAATTTAAATGGGATCCACACATTATCTTCCCTTTGACTGTCCATTACAGGAGGTCAAGGATGCGTTTTCTCGTGCTAGTTCTGAGGCTAACGCAGCGTTCGGAAATGGTGCCATGTTCATTGAGAAGTTCATTGAAAGACCGAGACACATTGAGGTTCAGCTTCTTGGTGACAAAGCTGGTAATGTTGTTCACCTGCATGAGCGTGATTGCTCCGTGCAGAGAAGGCACCAAAAAGTTGTGGAAATTGCCCCTGCACCCAATCTACCTGACAAAGTGAATATATTTTCTTATTTGTTTTAATTTGTGTTGTTATTTTAATAATTGAATTCAATGTTCATTTTCTCCTTGCGTTTTAGATTAGAGATGCTATGTTTCATTATGCTGTGAAACTTGCTAAGCATGTTGGATATGAAAATGCTGGCACTGTTGAGTTCCTCTGTGACGATCAAGGAAACTTTTATTTTATTGAAGTGAATGCTCGTCTTCAGGTAGAACACACTGTTACAGAAGAAGTCACAGGGTAAGAAAGTCATTTCAATACATAATGCCCACATTCTTGGATTAGTGTCATTAAATGTTTGCATTTCATTTGCAGAATTGACCTTTTACAATCTCAGATCAGAGTTGCTGAAGGAATGACCCTTCCAGAGCTTGGGATGACACAAGACAAAATTAAGGCTCAAGGTTATGCCGTGCAGTGCCGAGTAACCACTGAGGACCCTGCCAAGGGCTTCCAGCCTGACACTGGCCGAATTGAGGTGACATCTTGTTTCATTTTCATTTGTTGTACCAACCAGTAACTTAGTAGCTTTAATGGCAACCAGTAACTTGGCTTTAATGGCACAATCTGACTTAAATCTTTCTTGTCCAGGTATTTAGGACAGGAGAGGGTATGGGTATTCGTCTAGATGGGGCATCAGCTTACCCTGGTGCTGTTATCTCCCCATTCTATGACTCCTTGTTGGTTAAAGTTATTTCTCACTCCACTGATCTACAAAGCTCTGCTGCTAAAATGTCACGAGCTCTTCGTGAGTTCAGAGTTCGAGGTGTGAAGGTCAGTTCATCTTCACATAAATTTGGATCTTTGCATGTTGTCATTTCCATCTTTATATTATGTTATTCCATTTCTTTTTTAAATTTGCAGACCAACATTCCATTCCTGCTTAACGTCCTTGAAAATCAAACCTTCTTAAATGGCTCGGTTGATACAAATTTCATTGATGAGCAGCCCACACTTTTCAACTTCAAGCCATCTCAAAACAGAGCTCAAAAGCTTTTGAACTACTTGGGTACTGTGCTAGTGAACGGGCCATCAACACCCCTTGCTAACACCCTGATGAAACCAGCCAACATTACTCCTCATGTACCTGAAGTTCCTATTGGTAAGACATTGTCAGTTTGATTGTGAATTCCTCCTACCTCACCCGGTTGAGTTCAGCAGATGCCGTATGATCTACCCTTGGTGTTGGTTTTTGATGCATGCAGTTTGATGTTGTCCTGCTTTCTTGCAAATTGGAAAGTGGGCTTATATTTTTCAATTAAAATTATTTGAGTTTTTCTATATGTTACTTACAACAGTTTGTGGTGGAACATGTGGATTAATCTTGCATTATTTTGATATAATTTTTTAAATAATTAGTGTTTAACCAATAGTTTTAAATGTTCTCTTCATCCAATAAAACAAAACTGTTTGTTTCATAAATATTGATTCTCTCTTTAACTTCGATTGAAATGGCAGTGCTGAAGCTCAACAACAAAATTTCTTTACTGTAATTTTTTTAATTTTATAGTTATTTTAGTGTTTGTTTAGTTGTCTATCGGGATATTTGTAGTTTTCTGTTTGGTTGCATTTTAATGTCTTAAGTTTTTAGCCTATTTTTAATTTATAAAGCTAATACTGTATTATCGAGTTTCAAATCATATTGAAATCATAGTTTAACTAGAGCAGATGCTATACTTTAGTTTTTTGTTGAGCAATGCTTTCCTCATCCTCCTCCTACCCTGTTGGTTTTTGTGAGCTGCTTTTGCATATTATGCACACTTTTTCAGACATTTCTGCTTCGTCTGCATCTGATGGAGAGGGGGATGAAGTAGTATGTGAGTATGCATGGCTTCTTATTTTATTTGTATGGTATAAGGATTTTTGTGGGTTCTCCTTAGAATTTGGTCAAGGAATATTTTGATTTTTGTTCAGAGAAACCCTTATTAGTCTCACTTAAACTAGTATAATTTTTAAAAAGTTTTCTGTACCCCATGCTATCAGATTATGGGTTTTACACATTCCGGTATCATGTACTTTTCTCATTGTCCTCTCAAATTTGTTACATGAGGGTTTCACTGTGGTCCTTCATGTGGTCACATACAAATCCAAACCTACTCTCTTTTACTCTATTTGTTAACTCCTTCCTCTGCTGTTTCTCCCCCAGACATGAAGCCTCCTGAAGGTCTCAGACAGGTTCTATTGAAGGATGGTCCTGAAGCTTTTGCTAAAGCTGTTCGTTCTAAGAAGGGGCTTCTCCTGATGGACACAACATTCCGAGATGCCCATCAATCTCTCTTGGCCACCCGAGTTCGTACTCATGATTTGCTTCGCATTTCTCCGTTTGTGTCCCACAACTTCAGCAACTTATATTCTCTGGAGAATTGGGGTGGTGCCACATTTGATGTGTCACTCCGTTTCCTGCATGAATGCCCTTGGGAACGTTTAGAAGCCATGCGAAAGGAAATTCCAAACATTCCCTTCCAAATGCTGCTGAGAGGTGCAAATGCTGTGGGTTACACCAACTACCCAGATAATGTTGTTTTCAAGTGAGTTTTGAGTAAAATAATTGAATGAGGAGATCAATCAATTAGTTTTCTACCGGATCTAAATTTTTAATTTTGAAAATATATTCCAGGTTTTGTGAAATGTCTGTTAAAGCTGGTATGGACATTTTCCGAGTTTTTGATTCTCTTAACTACCTGCCTAACCTGGTGGTTGGAATGGAAGCAGCAGGAAAAGCTGGGGGTGTTGTGGAAGCTGCTATCTCTTACACGGGAGATGTTTCTGATCCCAAGCGCACGAAATATGATCTCAAGTACTATTTAAACCTCACTGATGAACTTGTGAAGGCTGGAACTCATGTTCTGGCTATCAAGGTGAGCTCTTGCTTAGTTGTTCCTTTATATTTAGTATGTATTTGTACATAATACTTTTTTATTAAAAAAAAATAATCAAAATAACTTAATTTGCAGGATATGGCAGGTTTGCTGAAACCAGCTTCCGCAAAATTGCTGATCACCGCTATTCGTGACAAATACCCCGACCTGCCTATCCATATCCACACTCACGACACTGCTGGCGCTGGAGTTGCGTCAATGCTAGCGTGTGCCGAGGCTGGTGCTGATGTTGTTGATGTTGCTGTGGACTCAATGTCTGGCATGACATCCCAGCCCAGCATGGGTGCAGTTGTTGCATCCTTGCAGGGCACCAAGTTGGACACAGGTAATCATTGCTTTCTTCCCCTCTCTCAAGTTCTGAAAGCATCATTTCCACCAATTCTCAACTGATTTTCAGGATATGATTTGAGTGACATCAGCAAGTATTCTGCTTACTGGGAGCAAACGCGTACTCTGTACGCACCATTCGAGTGCTGCCTCACAATGAAGAGCGGTAATGCTGATGTTTACTTGAACGAAATTCCTGGTGGCCAGTACACCAACCTGCAGTTCCAAGCCTACTCCCTGGGCCTGGGGGAGTTCTTTGAAGATATCAAGAAGGCCTACAGAGAGGCAAACCTGCTCCTCGGTGATATTGTCAAGGTACAGTACTACTAGAACTTCTCTCGTCACTCTGTCTATTTTCTCTTCCCTTTCATTGACTTGTTATCTGTAATTTGCTTCTTTTACTAGGTTACACCATCATCCAAGGTGGTTGGTGACCTCGCCAACTTTATGGTTCAAAACAAACTCACAGCAGATGATGTACTTGAGAAGGCTGAGGAGCTCAGTTTCCCCAAGTCTGTTGTGGAATTCCTGCAAGGTGCCATTGGTGAACCTTACCAGGGATACCCAGAGCCTCTCCGATCAAAGGTTGGTTTCTTGTTTCATTTTTTGTTTATCATTTTTAAATTGTTAAGATTGATTGATTGAACTGTTGACTTTACATTTTGTATCCAGGTGTTAAAAGACATGCCGCGTGTGCAAGGCCGACCTGGTGCTAGTTTGCCACCTCTAGACTTCAAGAAGCTTGGCGATGAACTAAAAGAAAGACACCCCACCGCCTCAGAATATGATGTCATGAGCTCTGCACTTTACCCAGCTGTCACTGAGGATTACTTGAACTTCAGGGAAGAGTTTGGTCCAGTGGATAAACTGGATACCAGGATTTTCTTAACTGGACCCAAGATTGGCGAGGACTTTGAGGTACTTCTTCCTCCTGATATGATCCATTTATTGCACTCATTAGAAACAATGAATTTTAATGCAAAAAAATATTTTTTCAGGCATCTATTGAAAAGGGAAAAACACTGAGCTTCAAGACTTTGGCAATGGCTGATGATCTGACACCTAATGGTGAGAGGGAGGTGTTCTTTGAACTTAACGGTCAGATGCGATCTGTGTTTATTCAAGACAAGGAGGCAAGGAAGGCAAGTACATAGATAAATATCTATTGTTTGTGTTCAAACAAATTTCCTGTTTGCTCTAACCTGATGTTTTGCTTCCGCAGGAGATCCACATCCATCCAAAGGCACAAAAGGGAGTTAAGGGCCAAATTGGCTCTCCTATGCCTGGATCTGTGATTGAAGTTCAGGTGCAAGTTGGACAAAAGGTTGAAAAGGGTGCCCCACTTGTCGTCATTTCTGCAATGAAGATGGAGATGGTGGTGCAAGCGCCCATCGCAGGAACTGTAAAATCAATTGACATCCAGCCTGGCATGAAGGTTGAAGGGGATGACCTCCTTGCAACTATTGAATAGACTCGTACCTGTAATGCCTCATGATTTTAATTGCTGTATGTGCCAACTTTTATTTATTATCTTGGATGTCTTACGCATTGTATGCATAGCAGCTATTCAATTACTGTGACACATAGCTAAGGACATTTTTTTATTTCAAAGTTCTATTTTAATCATTTCTTCAGAAAAGCTTAATTTTTTTCTATAGGAAAGTGGCTAATTATGCAACTTTTAAAGTGATAGGACATTTTATTTTTAAATCATGCAATGAATTATTTTATAAGTGTTTTTTTACCTTTCTTCCATATGTTTTATGTTTGTAGATTGTTTTTCCCTTCCTTTGCCCTCTGTGTTGTAAGTACAAATACACTCTTCGTTTGGCAGAAACCACATATTATATGACTATTTTAGGTTCTGAACAGTAGGTGAATTTTATTCATTGTTGTGCTCTCTCATTGATTGATTTCATTTGTTTGTATTGTGTGTTGCTCATGTATGAAAATCTTGATAATGAATGTGGGTCTTTGTTGTTTTTACTTGTTAGTTTTGTTTCATCACTTTGTATATTTTAAATTGCAGTTTGATTTCGAAAACAAAACGGTAGATTGCATTCCGATAAATGAATCATTGTTTATAGCTACAAATTTATACATTAGCCCTCTGTATGTATTGCGATTTGAAATGTTAAGTCCATTGATGACATTGCCATCCAGTACTCCTGTTTTAATGCTGTATTAACAATGAATTAACATGGTTGTTAAGTATTTATGCTAAGAGATTGAATTAGTCATTCATTTTAAATGGAAATTTGTTGTGAAAGAACATGATTCAATAATTCTGTGCCACTAGAGTATGATTAGAGTGGTCTGTTGGTTGACTTTTGAAACCAGTCAGGGTTTTATGTCAAACCATTTCTCACGTTGTCACTGTGATTTTATTAGTCTGTTTTGCGCTGTTTTGTTGGGACAACTAAATACTGCAGGGTTTAATTTGGTGGTAATCGTATGGAGTTCACAAATAAATTCAACTGTAGGGGAGGGTTGGTGAGAACGTCCAGGTCATGTCACGTTGGGTAGCTGTTATCTAGTTGTAAGATTGTTACTGAAACTTAGTATTACTAGTGTTTATGGTTGTGCCAGAAAAAAATGACTTTAGATTTTCCTTTTAAATCTATAGTCTAGACTTGTTATTTTTAGAATGAGTATTTTTAAAAGTGTCTTCCAAATTTGTGATATTGTCTTGAATGGCATGCTTGGTCTTTGAATATTTTTTTCTAGAAATGCCACCAATTGTTTGGTTTAAACATGCTTAACATCCTGCCTTTTTTTGTCAACACCTCTTCTCTCTTTTCTATAACTGTGAATTACAGCATAACAACTCTGACCACATTTCTGTTTTATCAGTTATTTACTCATTAAACCCAACACACTCCTAAATCTCAAAATACTAGTTCAAAGCCCATCGTCAGTAAAAACATAGACAAGCTATGTCAGCAGCCTTGGACACATTGGTGAAGTGTGCAGCTGTGTCTTGATACCGTCAACGACCATTGGGCACCGGGCATCTTGTTGTCAAGAAACTGGAAACTTTTGAGCGTGTACCGGATCGCGCCGTGTGAAGGTAGACCACCCTAGAGCCCTACATTACTCCTTCGGGGTCCCCGAAGGGGATGTAGGACTCTTGCGGCTCGGACACTACACAGCGGCGTCAGTTGGGTTGCCTAGCCAGCCGGCGTCCGATGACACTACAGCAATTTCTCATCGAAGAAAGAAAACAGCGCTATAATTTTCATACAGCATCCTTTCAATTCCTCGCGCCATTTGAACTAGAACAAAACAATATTTGTTGTTCTCTTTCATCTTTCTGCCAAGCTTTTTCCTCTTTGTTGGAGCTTGTAAATGTTATAAAATGAAGAAAGTTACTTTTATTTGTGACAGGTCTTTGGATAATCAACTGAACAAGCTTGAACAAATTGCAGACAGAGTGGGTATAAGTTTTGTTGTGAACAGCTCAGCTTAACTTCCTCATTTTTATTTTCTGTCTGTTTAGTCTTCCTTAGTAAATCACTTGGTACATGGCTATGGTCTCAACTCCAAGTTAATTGTCCTGAAAAATGTTATAGCCAAAGACGATGAAGTGTTATCTTTCCATTCAACGGATTACATTAATCACTTGAAAGATCTAAACGATGTAAAGGACATTGACGAACATGAAGATAATGAGGAAGAGTATGGACTTGGTATGCTACGAGGGAGAGTGGCTTCTCTTCTATTATTGCTGTTTACATAAGCTCATTAACTTAATATTATTATTTTTGGATTATCAGGTTATGACTGTCCCCTCATCTACGGTATTTTTGATTATGTTAGTGCCGTTGTTGGAAGTTCATTAACAGCTGCTCGTTCGTTAATCGATGGATCTGCCAACATTGCTATTAACTGGTATGGAGGATGGCATCATGCTCAAAGGTGCGCTAACTAACATTGAAAACTTATGATTTCTTACGAAGTAAAATTCATATTTAGATTACCACAATCTTTATTACAGAGATGAGGCAAGAGGATTCTGTTATGCAAATGACATTGTTTGTGCAATTAATCTTTTAAGACAAAAATTTCAACGGGTCCTCTACATTGATCTGGATATCCACCATGGTAGTTATTCTTTATCGAAGTCTCTCTAGAGTTTGTGTCTATGAATGATTTCCTTTACCACAGCTCAAGTTTTCAGGTGATGGTGTAGAAAATGCATTTGAATATTCACAGAATGTCCTCACATTTTCTTTGCACAAATATGAAGTGGGATTCTATCCTGGCTCTGGAGCAATAACAGATGTAGGTAGAGGTAATGGTAAATTTTATTCAGTCAATGTACCTCTCAAAGATGGCATTCGGGATGAAGCATACACCAAAATTTTTAACAGGTATAGTTCAAAATTTACTGTCTTTATAAGAAAGATTTTTAAAACTGGAGGGTGTTTCAGTTCATTTGGGCAAGTGAAGGGGTTGGATATCTCAGTTAAGAAATGGTTTTGCTCATCAGTGAGAAAAATGTTTCTTTAGGGGTCGTTGTTGTCTATGCACCTTGATTGGCCCAGATTAACTACCCTTAATATTATGTTGTTTGAAATTAATTTTTCATTCTCTGCATAGATTACTGGAAGTCCTAATGCAGGCTTTTCATCCAGACACTTTAGTTGTCCAGTGTGGATGTGACAGTCTAGCTGGAGATCCCTTGGGCACCTTCAACCTCACACTTAAAGGCTACGGCAATTGTGTTAAAACTATACTATCATGGCAAAAACCAACATTGTTTCTTGGAGGAGGTACATCATCAACAAGTATTTCAACTTTTTAATATATAGTTACAATGTGAAATTAATAACTTGTTTTTCTGCTCAGGAGGGTATAACATCACTAATGCAGCTCGGTGCTGGACTTACTTGACATCATTGATTTTAGGTTGCAACATTGCTACAGACATTCCTGATAATCATGTGAGTTTCAATGTAAAGTACAATCCACCTTAAAAAAAAGTGGAGTGATTTGATTTGTAGTACCATGAACAACCATGTATATGTCTGTGCATTTCAGTTTTTTGAAAGATATGGGCCTGGATTTGACTTAGATATAGCAGAGGGTAACAGACCTGACTGCAATTCAGAAGATGACATTGATAACTGTATAAGCATTATTACAGGTACACAATTAATCTGCTTTAGACATTATCTATTTGTCCAGTGTGACTCAAAAAATAACATTGCATGAAATTATTTTTACAGATAATGCTAACAACATTAAAAGAGCCTGCTGGAACTGAACTGTTTCCCAAGAGAATGAAGCACAAGGAATACATTTATCAGAAATCCATTATCAAATATTCAATCACTAATCAAAAATTTTAATAATAAAAATTAATATCACATTTATTGAGACCAGATGTTTCCATTTATGCTTAGAATCCATCAACTAAGTTAAAAAAAGAACAAGTAATAAATCTTTTAAAATTAGCTTACCAAAAAGGCATTTATGTATCTGAAAAAGAAATCAAATTTCCCTAGGACACATGAGAAGTTCTCGTGCTGGTAGGTTGTGAGCTAACAGATGATTTTCCTTCCATTTCATTGACATTTTCTGCATGTGTAATGTAATCAGATGATTTGTAGAAGCCATTTATGTTCAAGAGCAGAAGGTATTCAGAGAGAAAATAATGATGATTCGGAGGTGAAATGCTTCTTTCTAGGTAACTTATGAGCTTGCATACCTGCATCTAATGAAAAAGAATCTCACTATCCTTGCTGCTCTGATATATATTAACATAGATAAACTGTTCGAAAAAAAACATACCTTAAAATGGGAAGAGCAAGCCATCAACTGCTGGAAATTTGGATGCTCTAAGAAGATGGATCGTTGGCCTTGTACTTTGCTTGGCATTTGCCAAGGACGTGTTCTCATAATACTATGAAACTTGATAATGCAAACTAGGATTTTTGAGAGAACTCCCTCCACTCTCTTGAAATTGGTGTTCAGTAGACATCTGAGCAAGAAAAAGAAATTACTTGGTATGAAGCACAGAAAGACACTGTTTAGTGACTCCTATCAGGAATTAACTAAATACTGAGTCTCACCTTTTTAAAAGACGCTTTATATATTCTATATGAGCATTGTATATGTGATCAAGAGTCGTTGCCTGCTTCAATGATGATGCAAAGTCTGCCCAGCTGGCATAAAGCACTGAGCTACTAACATAATTTAGGGTTGCTTGTAAAAATTGGCTCATATTTTGTCGAATCATTTGCACCTATAAAAAAAGTGAGAAAAAGTGTGACTAATGAAATGAGCATTTAGGAACGCACAAGTAAAACTAAACACAGAGCAAAAGGTGTTGTAGTAACAAAGCAAAAGAAAATTCCATAACCACCTGATGATATTGAGGTGAGTTGATCAGATCTCTGTGTTGTTCTTTGAAGCATCCCCGAGCAGTGTTTTTCAAAGCAACAAAGTCTTCTTGTAGGAGCCATGCAACTCGTTTTAAACGTATCACAAACAAAAATATCTGAAACATATTTTTCATTTATAACATATCTCACCTTTAAATTTCAATGAGAACTTCATTTGGCTCACCACATTGTATTTTTGAAGTACATCTGGTGTCAGAATTAAGTTAAGAGGCCATTTCACTTTGTAAGATAGTTGAATAAAATCAAGTACATTTGGGGAAGAATGTGAAAAGTGATGAGGCACAGAGGCTCTGTCCGCAGTTAGAGAAATGAGGTGGTGATTTGGATCAGATGTGCCTTGCGAACTAGCAAGCGCTTCTTTCATTATTCTCTCCAATGAGGATGGATTGAATAAGAGATGAGGAGCTGAAACCTAAATTCAAAATTGTGCAAAACTGTACCTGGGAATAAATTTAATTGATTAAATCAAACTGATAGCTCAAAATTACCTGATACATTTGGGTGAACAATTTCACAGTGAGGTGACGACCAAATTCTCCATCTTGCATAAAATAATAGGATCTTAAACTTCGAAAGTGGGAAAGCAGACGTAGATCAACCAAAAAATGGTGAAGGAGTGCAGCGGAAACAAATTTATACTGCACTCTTAAAGGAAGAAGTAAACATGTTTGCAAAGATGATTCTATCCATGATGTGTTGGGTAAAGCTTTAGATAATTCATCATCACTTTTTTTATGATCCACTGTGTCTCTCGAAACTGTATAAAAAATAGAAATGTGCCTTCATTGAGCAAATATATTTCATTTTAAACATGTAACTATCTCTTGAAATCAGTCTATCATACTTACCCAGATCATAGTTGATTTGAGTATCAAATTTTAGAGCAAAATTGTCAGCAATGTCATATGTTAATGGCATACCACAAACTTCAAAATACTTTGGATTTTCACCACAGAAATCTGTGAGTGGGGTAGTCAAGGGTAGCTCATTGGGTAAACTGTTCGTACCTCTAAACGGATTTGTAAATACCGGCATATCATTATGACTTAAAGGTGTTGTGAGAGGTGACACAAAGGAAAAGGAATTTGACACAACAGGCAAGATCTTGGGTCTTTCAAAACTGGGTGTGTCACTTGCTTCATTTCGGTTTTTGTCTGCACCACTCAGTCCTTCATCTAAACAAACAGACAGCTTAGATTTAGTGCTTTCACATTCCTGGTTGACTTTAGCAACTGATGTTTCTTTCTGTAATGTTTCAGAAACTACATTTGATTGGGTTTCACATTCTGATTCTAATGTCAATGTCCCAACTCCCGAGTCTGTTGTTGTCATAACTGCAGGTATAGATGCACTGCTATTTTTTGCTGATGTCTTTTCTCCAGTCAATATATTATACTCTTCACCTAAAACTCTTCGCCTGTTTTTCTGAAGGTCACTTAAGTGTGATGTTTCTTCTATACCCTTAAGCTGACTTGTTTCACCCGAAAACTCTGAGCTTTTTATTCCAGTCAAAATGTTGAACTCTTCTCCAAGCACTTTTTGTCTATTCCTTTCCCATTCCATGGTCACTCCAGAATCCACACTAGGATTCTTTACAGCACTGACATTTTCTTTTGACCTCCAGTCTTGAAAGAGAACTCTTTGACGGGTCTTAGCAAGATCGGACAAAGCTTCATCTTTCATTCCACATTTTGCATCTGTCTCAGATGTATCAATCTTATCTGGATTCCAGCATACATTTTGTGTAAGAACTCTCTGACGATTTCTTTCAAGATCACTGATAGGTTTATCTTTGGATTCAGATGTTGCATCTCTTCCAGAAGTTCCCGAGGTCTGACTTGACAAACTAATCAGTGGTTCTTCTAAATTTGTTACTTTTGGAAGTTCCTCATCAGATGCATGACCCAAAACAGAAGTAATGACACAATTTTCAGCACTCTCCACATTTTCACAATATTGAGGCCTTAATAACTCTCCAGAACTTATACCAAATCCTTCTACTTCATGAAAGAAGTCTGAATGTTCTGTTTGGCACAGAGATTCACTTGTAGTGTTTTCCTTGGATGAAGGTGAGGGTGAAACACTCTTTGAAAGGCATGGAGTTTGCAATATCATCTGTGATTCAGATGTATTATCTTCAAGCTCGATTCTTGCTCTGGCATTTTTCTCTGCTTTAAGGTTTTCCTTGGCTAGGCTTAAGCTGTCTTCAAAGAGAAATGTCTGTCTAACGTCCGCCATTTTGAGACGTTTCAATTGCCACTCTCGATGCTGATTTTGTTTGTCAACAATTTTTCCTAGCTCTTCATAGTGGGCTAACATTTTCAGCCTTAAAGTATTACAAAAAGATAAGAATAATATCCATTGGTTAGTTTGGTTTTACAACTATTTTACAAAAAATACTACCATTAATGTTGTCATTGTTACCTTTCTTCCTCTTCAATAAACTTGGCAGCTTCATCTAGACGTTTGCATTGAAGGAGATACAGTTCATCTTCTATTCTATTTTTCTCTTTTTCAGCTGCTTTTCTCAGCTGCACTTCTTGAATTTGGGCCTTCAGATCAGCATTCTGTTTTTCTTTCATTTCAGCCTTTTCTCTTTCTAATTGCATTTTTAGTGATGCTCGAATTGCTTCTCTCTGTTTCTGTGCTTTCTGCATCTGCAATTTAATGCAATTTTAAAAAATTGAAGAATAAACTGATTTTATGAACCAAGTTAACAGAGTAGAAACTTACTAAAACATGCAAATGGGCCTCTCGATCACTTTCCTCTTGGAAGAGCTTTGATGCTGTCAGTAATTCACCACACACTCTTTGCGCCTCTTCCTCAAAATGAGCACATTCTTTTTGAACCTTCCCTAAATCTGACCTGGGATGGGAGAAATACAACAAACAAAATATCAGAAAGACTATTGAAAAAAAAAAAGATTATTTAAGTTTTTTTCTCATTGTTGTGATTTGTGTAGATTCAATGTCAATTTATGGTACCTAGAGAAAACTTACTTGTATAAGCAGCAATGTATAGTGGGGTGCTCTTTCTCTAACCACACACACAAAGGATGTTGTGGACTGCAAAGCTGTAGGAGATTCATTGCTCGTCCACAATCAAATACTGCAGTTTCTAATCCTTGAAGAAATCCAGGCACTGCTTTTTTATCTAAAATAAACCCTTGAACCCAGAAAGATCGGTCTCGATGACCAGAAAATTTTATGTCTTTGCGGACAAAAAATTCATTTGTCTTATCTGTGCAGTCTCCCAAGAATATCCATCGCCCAAGGCAATGTAAATAGACCTAAAATCATACAAAATCAAATATCATGATCAATAGAATGAAAAACCATGGAAATTTATCATTCTTTAAATAAATGAACATACCTCACAGCATGACTTTAAGGCTGAGTAAAGAAGGTTACTTTGCTGGTTGTTTGATTTACAAGCTTCCCTGTATATGTGTGCCAACAAAGCAACACCACTTGGTAGAGTTGATGACTCATCTTTCATGCCATCTACACGACATAAGGTTGATAGGCACTGTACCTGCAAGACCAACATCAACAAAGATAAAGGACAAAGACCAAAATTTTAAAATTGCTTCACAATTAAATGAAGTACCTGGTTTTTAAGAGACTGTATGTGCTCCAATAATTCATACAGTAAGATAGAATTTCCTTGAGATTTGACATGAGATGAAAGAATTAGAACAGCTCCCCGATAGAACTGAGTCCAACGTTGCACACAAGCCAATAATGCACATATGATTAATCCATCATTTTCCTTTAAAATAAATAATAAGAGAAGTGTTAAGATAGTTATAATAGCAATACTAAAGCAGTCCTAATAGATTCCATACCAGAGCCACAGAAGAGTGTGACAGTTTCTCAAGTCTTCGGAAGTGAGTTCCACAGTATAAAAAGTCCTGACACAGGGTCCTGGTGCCCTGCACGCTGTAGCCCTCAAGCCAGATACCATTCCGTACTACAAAGCAGTCACTTTCCTAAAATAAAAATGAGCATTTAAAAAAATATCTTTCATTAAAAATTCACTAATTGCACAGTTAGTTTAAGATATTACTGTACCTGAATAAAAGGAAATATGCTGGACTCCAGGCCATTTAGAAGAAAAAAGACATCACGAGTGAAATCAGCCCTGGATGTTGGTTTAGGGTCGCGAATGTGTTGAGTTTTAAGAACATCCTGGTAAATACTGACGAGAACAGATAAATTTTCAACAGCTTTTGGGCCACCTGCAGATAGGAAACTTGGTTCAGGCTTGGTATCAATGATACCCAGTGATTCCCATGTTTTCCGTTCAGGCAAATTAACATTTAGCGCCTTTGACCAAATTTCTGTTGGGTCTTTATCTGCAAAACAACAAAAATGATTTGGCAGTCTGTACATTTAAAATACAGAGCAAGAGTAGGTATTCATATATAATAAAAAAGTCGATTATGTCACAGCTTACATTCATTGTTAGAAAATGCATGATTAGGGTTTGCAGATTCAGTTATTGGGGTGAAGTACCCTTCATCTTCCAAATTCGGTGGGGTAAAATTTGATGAAAGATTTAACTCGCTAGGGCCAGTCAAGGGTGGAATTGTTCGTACTTGATACACAGAACGCTCTGAAGTATGTCTGTAGAAAAATAAGGTTGAACAAATCACTCTAGAAGGCACTTTCCTATTTAAATGGTAAGAAAATACAAGTACTCACCCCTTTGGACATAACCCACTAAATCTTTCAAAGAGGGGGAGACCCTTCCCTGGCTCTTTGTTGAATGGGAAAGAAGTAGCATAGCCACCAAAAGAAGATGCACTCTGACTAAGGTTCATCCATGCAGGAGGCTTAAAAACATCTGGATGCAAAGATGGATAAATCCTAGATTGCTTTGCACCTAGAAATTGAGTATCTGGTTCAGCACAAATTAAATTTTTCACATTTACCACAGTTATAATCTCAAAAGGGAAGGTTTCCTCACCCTGTTTTAAAGAAGTAAAGCCAAGTTTTTCAGATAATGAAAAGGGCTCATTGGAATCTCCTTCACTAAAAGAGGCTGAACTGGAATCTTCAGCAAGGCAGATGAGTGTTCTTAAGACTGGGTTGGGAGCATCTTCCCATCCTGTATCGAAGGCCTGGAACAGAAAAGATAGTAGCGTACCTTGACAACCTTCATGTAAAAGTTACATCAAGCTAAGGCATACCTCTCTGATGGCATCGTCAAGTTCACAAGATTCCTTTGTCTTATTTATATTACTGAGAAGAAACCTCCACGCAATCAAACATGACAGAGGATTCATATGCTCAAATTTCTTTGATAAATTTGACACTTCTGTGAGAAAAGAACAAAAGGAAACAAAATAAATGGAAAATCTGTGGAATTTCCGAGAAACAGGTGGAGCCAAAAAGGAGTGAGGCATTACCTTGGACATGCTGTTTTTTCAAAATAGTTCCATAAATGACTGACCGGGCCTTGTTCACACAGTGGGTTTGTTGGTTACCAGACAAGGGACAATTGTTTTCTCTCACCAATATTTCACTCAAACGTGAAATAAGCTTGTAGACACTCGTTTCATCCGTATTTGACATTTTAACTGGGGTGCACCGCGAATGATGAAAGATAAATGACAATTGTCTTGACAGCTTGGAGAACACCTAACCAAACTGCACAATAAACAAACGGAAACAAGTGGGTATTTGTAAAGGTCAATGATTAAAATTCACTTCCAAAGACAGGAAAAGACAAACAATTGTCTAATCCCTCCACCTCCACATTAATTTTACCTCTTTTACCTAATCCTAGCTGGATTGTTTACCATTTCTCTTTGACACTTCGTGCCCTGGAGAAGCGCGCCCATAGCATTGGCGTGCAAGTAGCAGCATGGTTATTTGCAGAAGACTGGACTGCACATACGGAAGGCGGGAAATTCGATTAACATAAAGGGCAGTCCCATAGTCCCATCCACGGCTTCCAATAGGAATCATTTGAAAAGAGGCAGGTTTAAAGACGGTCCGAAAAAAAAAACCGTCACTAAATTGGCGTTTTGTCCTTGCCCCGTCATGACATGACATCCGCCCGTTTGGGCAGTGAGGAGGGAGTGCCCGAGAGCTAGAAGCGTTCCCGTGTTCCGGACGAGGAAAAAAGGGGGGCACGGATATCTATCAAACGGGAGTAAGGTTCCTGTGACGACTCAAAACACGCAGCTGCAGCGACTGCAGGCGTCCCCTAGGCAGGGCCGTGATGGCAGGGCAGCCCAGCACGGCACTCAGTGCACTGTAAAAAATTTTGACACGAAATTTCGTGTTGTGGCTAGTGAAACGCCCCTTCTTAGTTATACTTCTAATGAATTTCGTGTGCCAGTGGCAATGAAATCTCGTTCGCCATGGCACACGAAATTTTGTTGGCCACTGGCGATCAGAAGGCTTCTTCCTACGCCAAATGGCAATTTTTGAGTCGTGGCGCTGGCAAGGATACTCGGAACCAATATTGTGAACTTTCTAGTTGTGGCGAGGAAAATTCGTTTCGGGCCGATGAAAAAAGCGGCACGAGCGGTCGGCATAGAACCCGAAACTTCAACTTGGATGTCTTGTGCCCTGACCCCTCGGCCACCGCACCGCTGCTTGGCAGAGCGCTCGACGGAGCTTCATCATGGACTCGCGAGGACTAGTCTGGCCACCACCAGGTGCGGCGAAGCAAAGCATCCTTCCCTTAGCCACGACTTGAAATTTCATAACTGTCGTCAGGGTAGGATGCCTTTTCAGTGCCACACCTATGATTTTTCTTCGCCAAGGGGCTGTTAAATTTAAAGTCGTGGCTGAGGGAAGCATCGTTTTGTTAGCCAAGCGGTAAATTTCACGTTTCGAACTTGGAATTTCATAAGCCACTGGCACTATAAATTCACTGTCGCGGTTTGGAAAGTGACCTTTCCATAGCCAGTGGCGCTTTAAACACACTTTCGTGTCTGGCTAAGAAAATTCAAGAAGCCATTGGCTACATAAATTTAATGGTATTTTTTACAGTGTGACTCCGGCCCCCGACTCCCTCGCACTCTCAGGACACCGGCAGATCAGCCTGACATGCTGGCGCAGGTGTGTGAAAACGAAAGGGGGTGGGGGCAGGGCCGGGCGGGGCGGGGCGGGGAGGGGGTGAGTCCAAGAAAGTACTACCTGCCCCCCATGGAACGGTGGAACGCAGACGCGGCAGCCGTCAGTCTAAAAAAGGTGGGCCATTTTCAAACTGTAAAACATGTGAGTGTGTCGGAGTGCGTTTATGTGTTCGACGCAGGCGAGAAGCGCGGAAAAAGACAGGGGTCTTCCGGGGGGGGGGGGGGGGGGGGGCTTTCGGCCCGCACGTACCGCTCTCTGTTTTCCCAGTTTCCTTCCTTTTGCTTTCCCGGGGTCCTGTCCCGGGGTCCTGGGGTCCTGGGGGCTGCAGCTGGGCACTCGGGCCATTGTCACACCGCCCGAGCGGATAAAGGCAGCGCAATAGCCTGGAAGCTGGAAACGATACGGGAATACGAATATATGAGTCTTTCCTCCCCAACGCCTCCCCCTCCCCTTCCCGACCCTTTCTCTCGCCTTTCTTTGTCCCCTTGAATGTGAATGCCCCCGCCCCCTTTTTCTTATCTGCCCCCACCTGCTTCCCATCTTCATCATTTTCAAGCGTTTGCTTTCTCGCGGCCTCGCGGCGAACGAATCAGCGACAGCTTTTCTGCTCCGTTCCAGACGGCTCCAATCTTTCGCTTTGCCAAGGCGGCCGGAACGTGGCGGGGCGGGGCGGGGCGGGGCGGGGCGGGGCGGGGCGGGGCGGGGCGGGGCGTGGCGTGGCGTGGCGGGGCGGGGTGGGGCGCCCGGCAGCCTGGGCCTCCCGCCCAGCAGGCGAGTGCGGCGGGACTGCCTACCCGGCGCGTGGCAGGGGCTTGGCCGGGCTTGGCTGCCTTGGCTGCCGTGTGGGGTTTCGCGCATCCGCGCCGTGTCGCCGCAAGCAGGAGCAGGGTCCGCCCCTGTCTCTGCCGCAGCACGATGCTGGTCCAGGACGCGCAGGCACAGCGGCAGGCTGCCGTCAGCGCCAGGCGAGCGCTGGGCTCGCCTCTCCCCTGCGAGTCAAGTCCTGCCGCATCCTGCAGCGCCACTCGTGCGGCAGCAGCGTCGATGCGGATCGGCTTTCCAGCCTCCAGTCGGTAGCAGTCTGGCCAGGGCTCCAGCCGAGGCTCCAGCCAAGGCTCCAGCCAAGACTGACGCCACGCGGAGGAAGCACGGCGGAAGCAGCCGAGTGGCGCTGTGCTCGCGCTGTGCTGCTGACATCTTCATTCCACCGGGCAGGCGAGGGGAAGAATGCGCAAAAGGGGGCCGTGCCGCGCCGCTGCGGCGTAGGCCTCGAAATTGCCTCGGCCTTGTCGCGCGGGCCGTCCCGCAGTGGCCACTGTAGGCCCACGCAATGGCGGGGCGCGGATGATCCCCGGAGTGTCGGAGTCAACCGGCAGCGCCGGCAGCATATGGTGGTCGCTGGGCAGGGGCTGCGCCAAGCGCCATGCGGCCATGCGCTCCGGACAGGTCACTGGGTCATCGCTCACTGTCCCCCCCCCCCCAAATCCCCGTGAGGCAAGGGCGGCAGGGCAGTGCAGCGGAGGCGTCTGGAGATTCACTCGCGAGTGCGTGCGCTGGGCCGGCGGTAGCCAGTGTGGCGACGACGGCGACGTTCGAAGTTCACTCCGCTTGTCCTGGGGCAAACGTTTCTCCCACGATGATGGCCCGATCCTCCACGATCTCTTCCTGAACCCACCAGCCAACCTTTGGGAGGCACTCATCTGATCCGCGTCCCGCCTGCAACTGCAACACTAAACCCCCTATCCGGCATCCCCCCCTCTCTCTCTCTCCCCGGTGGGTCCCCCACGTGGGTCCCGTCTAGTCTTTAGCAGCCTCGATGTCCCCGTCCGTCTGCCGCGCTGCGACGCGCTGCCTTGGCGCTCCTTGGCTTGGCTTTCTGGCAGGGAAATGATGGACGCCGCCACCGGAGATCCCAATGACGGTGTGGGATCCTGTGGCCACCCTGGGGCAGAGTCGGGTGGGAGAGAACGCCGATTGGAAAAAACGCTACGCGCGCGCTTCTCATAGCTGCCTAAATGCTGCGCGTGGTTTCTCATCTTTGCAAACAAAATGGCGGCTTCGCTGCCGAAAGAAGTGGAAAAGAAAGAAAGGGCAGCAGTCCGTGGAAATATTCATTTTGTAACGGACTGCATATATTTTTCGGGGCCTTCTACGGGGCTTTTAAAAATACCAAATGGCGCTCGAAAAATACCGGACGAACGTTTTTGAAGTGTATCTCCGGCTCCATTCTTTAAGTTAATCAGGTGCGCTCTGATGGAGGGTGGGGACCTGGCCCAAAGGCTTTTGGGCCAGCACGCCACGCCAGAGTACAGCAGCAGGCAAGTTGGTCCGTCCGTCTCTCTGTCGCGACGGGACGGGACGCCTCACGAGTGTGAGAGAGACGGGGCGCCTCTCGGACGCAGCCGGCAGATCGAACTGCGCTGCCCCTGGTCCGGTGCCAAAGTGTCCTCGACTGCATGGCGGCGGGGAGGGGAGGCGGGCACCATTGACGCCACTAAATTGGACAAAAAGAGCGCGAAAGAGAGCAAAAAGGAAGTCACTCCAAATAGAATGCAAGAGCGGCACGGAGCTAATGCGGCCATCGGCGAGACGGGGGGCGAGTTCCAGCAATGCCAACCATACGGCTGCACTGTCCATTACGAGCCGGGCTAGCCAACGTCGCGGGGCAAATGTTCGAGAACCTTGAACAGCAGCTGGTCAGGCTTTTGACCAGAGAACACGAGAGAGGTTTCCCAGAACCCGGATACCTTCGACGGTCTAATTTCCCGTCCAGTGTACCCCCAGCAGCAGAGGGGGCTTCTACCACCATCTAGAATGCCTACAGGGCTGGGAGTGACAAATCCCTAGGTGGACCTGCCTGGTTTCGTCACTCTTTCTCCTTCGCACTCCTAGAAACAGTCGCTGCGTACTGCCCGGGCCGAGGCACGGCGTGCGGCGCAGCGCACTGCACTTGCTGGAAGTGAAGTGAGTGTGCAGGTGCGCCCCGGCCTGCCAGGGCTGCCAGGGCTGCCACGGCAGAGAGCAACATAACCGTTACCGTTTGGCGCCCAACGGCCCAACGGCCAAACGGCAGCCCGTTAGGCCACGCAGCCCCGCCGCCCTGCACCGACCGGGGATCACACACCTGACGTCCGGGCCGCACTTAGGCCCCTCGTCACTCAGCACAACAACCGGCCGGCAATCTGGAGGCTGGAAGGGGTGGGGGATTGATTCTGTCCGCTGGAACGAGCGGCCACTCCTGGACATCCTGGACAAGACGCACCGCGGGGGAAAGAAGGGGAGGGGGATGACGAGCATCGAATCGTAAATAAGATTGCGTGTCTCCGACAGCGGGCGAAATGTTGCGCCGGACTTCATCCGCTGGAGTAGGAGCCCGAGGGAGCCGCCCCCCGCGGTGCAGGTGGCGCGGAAGGCGAGCACAGTGCCAGAAGACCGGCGGAAGTGATCCAAATCCTGGACGGGTTTTGTCAGTTTTGTGCTGCAGACTCGCTACATGGGCAGAACAAACTCGGGATCTTGACGCTGCTGATTCTATTCCTGTTATTTCATCAGACAATACGCCTTGACTAGAGTTTTTAATTTTTTCTTCTCTCTCTCTCTCTCTCTCTCTCTCTCTCTCTCTCTCTCTCTCTCTCTCTCTCTCTCTCTCTCTCTCTCTCTCTCTCTCTCTCTCTCTCTCTCTCTCTCTCTCTCTCTCTCTCTCCCCCTCAGCCTCGGCAGGAATAACGAAGTGCGTAGTGGTGCTATAGATGTCACAATCTTATTCTTGACGTTTGAT